AAATGCTAGTGATGTTAATGCCTCAACTACACATTTTCTCCATCCAATAATCTACTCTAAGTGCTAACGGATCAACCGACAAGTTATAGCAAGAGAATGCTATAACCTTTTCCAACACCGCATGGACAAACTCTCATGGAAACAAGGTACCAACTTAGGCTTAGCATCATAGACCACTATCGAGAATCTAGTTAAAGCTACTACAATGCTACTTTATGCAAGTAGACTAGCCTCACCATCAACCACTTTGGGGTGGATCATCGTCTAACCAAGCAACTTCGTAAACACATTACTTATTATCACATAGATATGATATAAGTATCACAATGACTTGATCATCAATTGAGCAATACCATAAGCAATGCACATATCACTACTACAAAGGTTTATGTGAGTATCAAGTGTCAACTCGACTCGACAAAATGCAATATAAATGCCACACTCCACCGATAGAGACTTACAACACCCAACACCACTAACTTTTGTTCATAACATAGACAAGCTTATGCCATTCTCTTTCCAACCAAACTCAAAACTAATCCAACACCAAGCTACTCAAGGAGCAATAATAAGTTTCCCCGGAAAAGAATTGAGCATTGCAACATAAGTCTTTCAATAGCAAGCCTAGACAAAATGGTTTAGCGCTTCACTGCTATCCATCCCACAACTCACCATTGTAAGACCATCATCTTCAACATGCATCAAGGTAGGGACTCTTGATTGCATAATATGAACACAAGTAATGAATTACACTTCATTGCAAATCATTTCTCCAAGAGAAGATGTTTTATGTGTTTGATCCTTCGTTCTTGATGACTCTCCTTTCGGCCTCATCTTTGACTAAACCTCAAGCTTTGCTTTCGCACTGCCTTTAGTCCAATCCAAGAAAAGTTTATGAGAGAGCACGGCAATGACTACTTGAACCAATAGACTAATCCCTACAATCTTGATTGATTCACTTATAGTCTTGCCTAGGAAGGATCTACTAGTGCCGTGCTAAACAGCTACGGACCAGCCTTTTTGCCACTCATAGCAAACCCAAGGATAGGTTTACTTTCACCCATGGTACATGGAACAACTCACGGAACCATTAGAATAACTCATGGAACCACCGATAGGCTAACATTAATCTTGCCAACTCAAAGTGTAATATTGAGTTGCTAATGTGCTTCACTCATAAGCCCAAGCGTAAACTCGTGCAAATGGAACATCTCAAATCCCTCTTATGAGCCCAAGAGCAAGCTCACATTATCACGGTACAAAAAGGTAACAAAAACCATACCCAAGGAACAATCGCAAAGCCTTGCACCCAAACATGTACCCACTCGGATCATCGTTTTCATCTCTGCATATGCAATGAGACTAGTTGCCCAATCTCATTGAATAGTACTTGCTAAGACTCATCCTCTGATACTAAATGTAGCGCACGTGGTTTTGACCCTTTATCCTATGGTGATTTACCATAGGATAACACCACGAAGCGGAACCTCAACCCTCTTTGTGCCACGTGATAGATGCCACATGTCACATGCCACGTGTCCAAAGGAATGTGGTGTGGAACCCGAGGTTCAGGGCCTTGAGCCACTAAACGAAGGAACGGTGCCAAACTCCCAAGCATGGATCCAAGGAGTGATAGAACCGAACCACGGAGCAACTCCCGAGCATACAGCCCAAGGAGTGAAGGGACAGGAGCCCAGAGCGACTTGGAATAGTCCTGGAGCAACCAGCATCCCAATGCCAGGACCAACACGCAAAACGGAGCCAAACAGAGTTTGGCACTATTTCGGCATACTGGTGGCCTAACGCGAGGATATGGTTACTCCACCAGCTAGCATGGAATGGAACTTGGGCTTAGACCCAAGCCGGACACAGAACAAAGACAGGCATGCAAACATGAGCTAGACTATGCCTCAGTTGGTCAGCCATGCCTGACCTACCCACTATCCCTACTGTACATTTGGAACCCCTCATAGCCCCCCCTCCCCTTGAGGAACACACGCTTTGGGCTTTCACCCCAAGCCTCCCTTAGTATCAAGAGTTAGTTTCTGGGACAAGCTCAAAACTTATTAAATATGGAATGGCATTAGATTGCGAATTTGGACACAGGATGAACACTATTGTGTTCAAGCCAATCTCTACATTCTGTAAATATGCCAAATGAGCAAATCTAGACACTTTCCATAAATAGCATTTGGGACCGAAATGAGACTAACACAAGGGGCATGATAGCGAGGGTGTTTGGCAAACATGGTAAGCTATCATTCAACGATATTGAGGGACCAATCTCAATACGTTAGGGTTCTTGTTAAGCTAGTGCAAGATAGAGCAAAAGAGAACTAAAAAGCTAGGCCAAGTATGCTTGGCTAAATAAACACTTAGGCTTATGCTCATCTAGCTAAGTAAAGATGCAAAGTCTAATTTATTAACATTTGAACAAAAGGGGCTGATAAAGGGTCTAGCAATACCGACCTCCTGCCATCGTGGCAGTCAGGAAAGAGTGTCCGTAAGGACTAGCCGATAGGTAATTTTCGATACCTGAAGTCACATTCGCAACAACATTATTGAGCAGAATATAAAATTTGGACAGTTGATTATATTTAAAGACGTGTGGTCCATAAATACTTAAACTACACCACTATAACATTAAAAAATTAAAATATAACTAAAACCATATCTATAAATATGGTTGTATATATAAAAATTTATATGGAACACTATATCTGAATTGTGCTTAAAATTATGTGAACAAAATTGGTAAACATCAGTTTCAAAACTATATAGGTATTGGTAAATTATATAGAAAGATATATGTACATTTATTCTCAAAATATAACTCAATCATACTCAAAACTATACAAGAAACCATTCCTTATGAAAACTAGTTATGAAACCATTAAAGTCACATATGGTTTAACCATAGGCATAACCATCTTGTTTTGGTACTAGTTATAGTAAAAAAACCATGTTGATGAGCGTGTTGTGGTTGGTGCTGGGCAACAGTATGCGGCATGGCCTCTGGCAGCCAGATGTCTTTCCCATGGAGATGAAGGCCAAGGTGTTGGAACCTTTGGTGGATCAAAGCTGGAAAAATCAAGGTACTTAATGATGGAGAAGAAAATTTGTGCACCTTGACTTGAATCATGATTTACTCCACAAGCTGCTGTGACAGCCATCAAGGCAATTTTGACACTAAATCATCTTTGCGACTGGCAAGAGCAGCGTTCTAGGAGCACTGGCTCAAGGTGCTATCTTAAATATCCTTGCAAAATATTTCCACTGTGCAGAACACACAATACCCATTCCTCATTGAAATGACATCATTTGCTCTCACTCACTTGTTTTCTTTTGCATCTCCGCTCAGTGAGCTGCTGAGCTTCTTTAGATTATCATTTGGAGGAAGTAGGGAATTCACCGCATGGTGAGTTTTGGAGTTGAAGTGTTGTTGGGATGTTAAGTATGAAGCTCAAATTGCATATGCATTGTATTTTTCTGGTATGTTGTTGTGGTATTTTTTTTCCCAATATTTCTGTGGTACAATGTGGCTTGGTTTTTAAGGAGTCATCGCATTTCCTCATCCATTTCTCGTCACAGGGTCTTTTAGTGGTAATAAATTCCCGCTCGCAGATAATATAAGCAAGGAACCAGTGGTTTCCAGAAGCCGAGTTTATTTGTCCCCAGTTTTTAAGTTGGAAAGTTGCGAGAGGGAGACTGCACAGGTGATGGAATTCTGCTGCTGTGCTCACCAGCAAAACTTGAGCACCCGAGTTGGATTGACTGGGAATAAGAAACTGGGAGGCTGTATCAAATGTCATCCTAGCGTATGCCGAAAACACTTAAGCAAAGAAGTTGTTTCTTTTGATGATCTATCCAGAGAGATTGCTTCTCGTGGAACATTTTGATCAAGAGGTTTGTGGATGCCGGGAAGCAGCACTTGCCCTGGCATGGCATTTGGAAGAAGCAAAGGGTTTCGTTTGATGCAATGCCTCAATAAGACGTGCTCGCAAGAAACACAATGGTCACTCTATTTTATACAAACAGACAACCTTGAACACACAAAGTACAGGTTGTCTCTTTTTGCAAAGTTGAAAGGTGTTCTCCCAGAAAAAAGCACAATATTAACTCTTGGCCTTGTAGATCGGAATCATACTGTTCTTCACTTTTTTCAACTCTCTCTGTCTCTCTCTCTCTCTCTCACACACACACACACTAATACCGTTTTGAGCAGCTGTTCTTCCATCCAGGCATTTGCTGTATTGGTTCAATTTTGCTTAAACACCAGCGACCTTCACGACATAAGAGCTAGATTGATTCACAGTGAGCACCACAATGATCGCTACCTCGCCAATCTCATCCTCCAAAAGTATGGGGAGCTGTGGGGTGCTCGACGGATCTTCGCTGGCTCTTGTGGAACATCTTGCTGGGAAAAATCGGTTGAGCGGAGATCCAAGAGGGATGTGGTCGCATGGAACATGATCCTCGCAGCGTATGCCTAAAACGCTTAGTCAAAACAGATGTTTCTTAGATGATCGAGGAATGTTTTGATCAAGGTGGGTTTGTGAATGCCATGCGAGAAAGCAGCAGTTGCCGGGACAAAAGATGCAAAAGTTTTAATTGACGGGATGCCTCAACAAAATGTGCTCGCAAGAAAAACAATGATCATTCCTTGTTTTACGAACATTTTCCCGCCCTATCGTCTTTACTTCTCCATTCTAGGGTTCTTTCTTGGAGAGGACGTAGGTTTTCTATTGCCCGCGTGATCGAGGAGACGGCGCTGGGAGGCGGCCTTGATCGGCATGCTGGAGCTGAACAAGGTAATGGGAATTTCTGAGCCTTGCCGCATTGACAACGAAAGCTTTCGGGCCGTCCTTGGCAGCGATGTCTGCGACATGGATCTCGTCCACGCGCTACACTTGGCGAGGAACGATTTGCAAGTGGCCGCCCACATTGTGCTCGACACTCCGGGTTTTAGAAATAGGAAGAGGCTCCAGCTTAAGGCTCCGACCCCAGCGTTGGTAAATCGTCGACGACAGGAGTTCTAGATCTACGGTGACAACAAAGGCCCCTGCGGCAAAATGTTCCATCGGCAGTGGATCGCCAAAAACTCCTGCAAAAGCTGAGGCTTCTAGGACAGCAAAAATTGCCGAGGTGAGCAATGATAGTGGAGCAGAGGATTTAGATGATTCGGGTGTAGAAAGTGGAGCAATCGATGGTGGGGAAGAAGAGGTAAACAAGATTAAGACTGGAGGAGGAAACGATGCCGAGGTGGAAAGAACAACAGTGGTGGAGAGCTCCATTGAGACTGTCAGGAAACATGGCGAGGCTGTTTCTAGCGCCTTAGCTGGACTTTCAATCAGAGGTAGTGCCTTGACCCACGGTAATCCCGTTAAGATGGAAGCTGGTTGTGGTTCCGTGAAAGCTGAAGCTTCGGTTTCGATCGCAGCTGGATGTGATCCTATGAAAGTAGATGGCTTGGTGAAGATGGAAGCTGGTTTTGAGTCTGCAAGAGTCAAAGCTCCGGTTGGCTCAGTGAAGATGGAACCTGGTTATGATACTGTGAAAGTTGAAACTCCATTCGGGGGTGGTAAAGCTGCCCATTTGTCTGAAGCAAAGGTGGTTCCAATAGAAAATGACACGGCCAAGGCTGCAGAGAAGCAACCGGTTGTTTTAGATGCAGAGAGGTGGTGGCTTCTCCAAGAGACTGAAGTTGCCGGGTACTCGACGTCCAGGGGATGCCGGATTCGTGTTGGCGAGTTCGTGTCCTTCAATTTTCCCAAGCCTGAAGCCGAAAGTAAGAAGAAGTTCTTTGAGCACAAGAAGGTTCGGCCGAAAGCGAGCTCCGACATTGTAAGGTTCTTGACAAAAGCTTCAGGAGAGGTACGTTTCACTTGACTTGTTTCTTCGTTTTAATTCTAACCATTTGCTCACAGATAGGACGGCTTCCGGCCGACTGGGCCAAGTGTTTGATACCTTTGGGAAGTGCAAAATGGCACCAGAGGCTCTTTCTCTTATAAGCAGCATAGTTCTCCATTGGAGGTAGAGTTTTCTGTGTTTACCAGAGACGTTACGTATATGATGTGCTTGCAGAGTTTATATCAACAAGTCAGAAGCCTTACAAAGAGGGGGATGAGCGCGGATTGAAGCTTCTGCAAGCTATCTTGAAGCCGTTAATGCTTCGAAGAACAACTGATAAGGAAGGAAGGTAAGCATTTTTTCCTTTGCACCGTGCCTTGTCTTGTATTCACTCACAAGTTCGATTCACAGACCAATTTCTTGTTCTCCAACCGGCTCAATGTGAAGTTATTGAATGCAGACTATCTGAGCCTGAACGTGATTTTTATGATGCCCTTTACCACAGATCTAAGGCATGAAGAACTTCTCTTTCTTTTATTTTCTCTTTTTTTCTGAACACGTTTTTGCGTTTGTGATCAGGTAAAATTCGATCAGTTCGTTGAACAAGATAAAGTTCTCCATAACTATGCCCCGATCCTCGAACTGCTACTTCGATTATGGCAAGCTTGTGATCATCCTTTTCTTGTTCTGAGGTAGAAAATGCATCCTCTTATGTCTGAAGTTCCTCACGTTTCTTCGTCACACAGCCGGTAGCGATACTGAATACTTTGCGGACGTGGGAAACCTTCTACTCTCAGTTCATCAAGGTCTTTGGGGAGTTGTGTCACAAAGAGAGGCAAATGCTCCCATGTATTATCAGGAGCCAGATAGAATCTTAACCTCTTCAGGTTTGGAAGACTTGCTGCCAAATCGTCCTTGAACTCGGACTGTGCAATGTGTAGATTTTGAAGGCCCAGAACTTCAAGGCATGGGAACGATCCATCCAGACTAAAGAACTGGATGCCACTGCAGTCTATGTGAAGTTCTCGTAGCCGTTGAAAGCCCTTTAGCCAAGACAGGTCTTTCATTGTCTCATTGTTTGTGATCTTTAAAAATTGTAGCTGTGGCCATTCAAGGCTTTCGGCATACCGTCCTGAAGCTGTTTGGACTTCTTAAACATTCGCTTCCAGTCAAGTTTGATAGTCGATTCCACCCTAATGTCACATCGTCTTAGATTGACAAGTTGCCACAGGCCGGTGAAATCGCCAAAGTCCATGCTCTTTGCCTCCAACTCCAGTGTCTCAATGTCCACTAGTGCACCAAGGCTGCGAGGTATTTTTATTGTTGCACGATAGAGGTCTAGCGTTAAATGTCTTAGCTTGTGTAGGCTTGAAATTCCACTCAAATCCACAGCTAACTCCTTATCGAAATGAAGCTCCAGCTCTTCCAAGTTGAATAATTGGGGCAGTAATGCAAAGTTGAATTTTGTGATGTCATTGCATTTCAAAACCTTCAGTGATGTCAAGCTGAAGAGCGCATCTGGGAATATTGTCACACTTGAACGTCGAAAGAGGGGCACATCTGAACATTGAAGGTCAAGCACTTGAAGGTTTCTCAGCTTGGATATGCTCTCTGGAATAAAACGTACCAAATTATAGCATCTATTCAAGCTCAATACCTTGACATTTTGGATGTGATCTATAATAAGACTGACATCCACACCAGAAATTCCATGACATCCATCGAGAAGCAAGACATCTCGCACATGAATGTCAGACAAAAGGCTGCTTGTAACCTTCTTTCCAATGAATGAAACTTTAGAAAATGTTGGAGAAATCCCAGGTGGACAATCATAGCCAAACAGGCATCCCTTCTCGTGCTCTTCCTGGGGTAGGTACTTCCCTTTCAAGATTCTTATGCACAGCTTGCGTACCATATCGTGTACAGTTACATAACATCGATAATCAGTTGTCTTCACTAGGTATCTTCGTTCCAGTTCACTAACTATGGCCCTAGCATGTATAACCACAATTTTTAATTCTTCCTCCTCCAAGACATTTTCTTCAACCAAATTATCATTAAGTAAACTATCCATCACTACCTCCAACATCACTTGTGACAAATATAATGTTCTTCCATAAATCATATCCAAACCCATTTACTGGATTATATAGTTTTTACTTTCCCTCTAAATCCACTCTATTATTTTCTATTGTGCTAACTTGTGCATTTTTAGTGAGAATAAGTGTTTACCTATGGTTATAGAAAGTAGATTTGGTGAAAAAATAACCTTTTGGTGCTTTTGTTGCAACACATAATAGACAACAATAATTTTTCTTTCTTTTTTGCTTTGGTTTGGTATAAACTATTGAGATGTGCCATCTTTTGGCTAACCTAGTGAACATTACAAGGCAAACACACTTTTGCAAAACTTGTGAAATTTAAAAATACACAATTATCACATATCTTTTAGTGTTTTTAATGTTGTCATCCTTGTAGTTTTTTGCTGCTTTCTTTCAAAAATATAATATTGTTACAAATATTTTTTTTGAGGTATTTTTTAAGTCCTTATTTAGCAAATTCATGATGGAGGTAAAGAAGATAAATTGCCCAATCCGTGATGCTTTTTGGGATTGAGCTCATAGGTAACGTTTGATAAATATAAAACATAGTAAGGTTAAGGCTTTGTACTTATTTTTATTGATATAAGTTTCTTTATTTTGGTATCATGCTTACTTTAACAAATTTTTTTGACTCTTTGAGTTAAGTAAGGATCATTTGCTCTTCTCTAATGCTATAAAGGTTTTAGTAAAGATCCAGCTCATATCCTTGTACATCCAATGTGCCAACTATGTTTTTAAGTGATTTTTATTTGGTTTTGGAAATCTTTTATCTACAATTCACATATACACTACTATATGTGTTGCTAGAGCTTACCATTGCATCCACAATAACATTAACATGTCTTTAATTGATCTTGACATGATGCAAACTAAATGACTATATTCAAGAATGCCCTGTGATCTGCAAACCCACTATAGTGCTATTTTGCTTGCAAAGCAATTAAAACTAGTAAAGTGATGTTTTTAATTATACATTTTTTAAAATATTTATGTATTTAGATTATTAGGATATAAGTTGTGGCTTGATTTTAGAAGAAACTCCATACCCCAGAAGTAATTTAAGAAGAAAAATAGTCCAATAATGCAATTATGGAGATAGAAAGTCTCTCTAGAGAGACCACAATATTAGATATGGTAACAAATAAATTTGATTTTAGAGAAAGTGAAGCAGAAGTTTTTAGTGCACATAGTTATAATAGCATAATTAATTAAAATCAATATAGGTTTGTTAATCAATTTATATACATTTGAACTTCCCACATATGAGCTAAGATTTGCATAGTAGAGTTTAGTGGGTGGCAAGATTGTAGAGATGCTAAGTTTTGTATCTTTCCATTGTTGTAGTTAAATCAACGAGTTGAGATAAGGTAAGCAATGGGTAAAAATACATAAAGTGAATCCTTTTTTTTTCTTTAAATGTTTATGACCCTAGCAAGATTGAATAAACCATCTAGCAAGGGATTGTGTAAATATATTGAGAGTGTTTATTTAGCTAGAGTGTTGCCAAACTTCATTAACAAGATTAAGAGTGATGGATTTTTTAGAGAGGACCATTTCAAACTCAACATTTTGATATGGATGAGCATTGGAGCAAAAATGGGGGATGCAATCCAAATGACAAAGACACTCAAGAATCTCAATGATTCATCGGAGTAGGCATGCCCAAAATAAGAGCCCTTTACGAAGACAATAATGCGAGCTAACACCCACTCAAAAACAAAACACACCAAGTCAAGGATTATAATAGTGGCAACCAAGGTTTGCAACACCAATTTTCAATGTTAAAAAATACTCCAAGCGCTTACTAAATTTCCCATTAGCTTTATTTGGCAAGAATTTACTTTATGAGTTATTATAAATCTTTCCTAACTACAAAAAAGGATACTTCAAATGTGAAAGGCAAGTGGAGCAAAGAATTAAGCTCAATCAAAAGAGGATACTTCAAATGTAAAAGGAAAGTGGAGCAAAGAACTAAGTTAATTAAGTCAGTTCATGAGTGCAAATTGGATAACCATGCCTTTTGTGTTTGTGAGTTCAAGATAAAAAAGATCTTCATTATATTGCGGTATCAACTTAAAAAAGCAATGGTTGTTAAAATAGAGCAAATAAAAGTGTTTATAAAATACTTATATGACTAAAGTGTTATAGATCTCCTTGCATTTAAATCAAATATGAGGTTGGTATTGATAGATCTTGAGTTTTTTAAGGTACAAACCATATTAGTTTCAATGGAAAAAACCTCATAGTTTTAAATATGGCTTTTGCAATATCTTCAAATAGTAAGGATAAAATTTTTAAATAAATGGCAATGAGAAAATTACAATAGTTAAGAAAGTTTATAGTGGCACACTCATTTAAAAGTATAAATCCCTACGAGTGAGGATAATTTCACTTATAGATAAGGATTTATTGGCCAATATAAAGATTTTTTTTGCATGTGAGGTAAATCTTTTTTAGGATGACATTTTAAAATTATGCTCAACACTAAAGAAAGAAGTATGCACTAATTTTAAATTTTAAGTTCAGAAGATGTTTTGGCCTAAGTGCATAAAGGCCATTGTCATTGGTAAGGATAATGAAAAAACTATTAAAGAGGTATTCTTTTAAAAATGATTTTATAGTTTTTAATTTTTGTTTGTGCAGCTCCAGACTAAATCATATGGCAACGGATGTGAGGAGCAACCCCTATACCCTACTAAACAAGATTGATGAAGACATAGAGTGTGAGATTATAACTAAAGAAAAAAAATGTAAATTTCATAGTATAACTTAATTTTATATATTGTCTAATATTTTTTGGCTCTATTTACAAGTAGAAGAACACCTAAAGTGCTTCTTTAAATATTTTTTTATTAAAATATAGATAATATTATAAAACAATCTCATTATTTTGCAATAATCTTCATTAAAAATTGTTGCTTTTTAACTTTTGTGTATTAACTGTAACTAATTTATATGACTTTGTAACTTTCATCCATAATAGTAGAAGTTCAACCAATAGCCACAAATATTTATAAGGAGGTTTAAGCTTGTATATATTATATAATATAACTTTATTTATTTTTTTAGTTAACATTAGCAAAATTACGAAAAAACAAAAAAGTCCAGATAAATGATAAGATTACTCTTCCTGTGTATGAGGCAAAAGAAGTGGAATACACTGTAAAGGCATAAAAAGAATCAACAACTATTAATAAAGTAATATAATAACAAATTAATATAATTAGTTTTATTTTTTTCACTCAAACTTAGCAAAAACTTGCAAAAACTTTTTAAACTAAACATAGTAATTTTAGAAAATTAGTGAAATTGCTCTTTGAATTTAACCTTTCTTTTGCTAACATGAAGTAATTCTATAAGAATGAGAACCATATTTACAAGTTGCCAAATGCCCACAAAATTAAAACTGAGTAAACCTTAAAGAATATTGTTGAGCAGAGTGTGAAGTTTGGATAACTGATTATATCTAAAGAGGCCTTATCCATAAATATTTGGATTACATTAAAAAATTAAAATGTAAATAAAACCATATCTATAAATATGGTTCTATATATAAAAATTTATATGCAACACTATATTTGAATTATGAATAAAATTATGTGAACAAAATTGGCAAACATTAGTTTCCAAACTATATATGTATCAGTAAACTATATACAAAAGTATATGTACATTTATTCTCAAAATACAACTCAATCATATTCAAAATTATACAAAAAGCCATTCCTCGTGATTGCCAAATAGCACATAAATCATGATGAAAACTATGTACAAAACCATTAGTGGTTGTGGTCCCAAAACCAATGCATTAACAATTAAGAAACCAGTCATAAAACCATTAAAATCACATATGGTTTAACCACAAACACAACCATTTTGTTTTGGTACTAGTTATAGTAAAAAAACCATGTTGATGAGCATATTGTGGTTGTGGTGCTAGACAACACTATATGGCATGGCATCTGGCAGCCAAATGTCTTTCCCATGGAGATGAAGGCCAAGGTGTTGGAACCTTTGGTGGATCACAGCTGGAAAAATCAAAGTACTTGATAATGGAGAAGAAAATTTGTGCACCTTGACTTGAATCATGATCTGCTCCACAAGTTGTTGTGACAGCCATCAAGGCAATTTTGACGCTAAATCATCTTTGCAACCGGCAAGAACAACATTCTAGGAGTAGTGGCTCAAGGTGCTGTTTTAAATATCCTTGCAAAATGTTTGCACTATGCAAAACACACAATACCCATTCCTCATTGAAACGCCATCATTTGCTCTCACTCACTTGTTTTCTTTTGCATCTCCACTCAGTGAGCTGCTAAGCTTCCTTAGATTATCATCTGGAGGAAGTAGGGAATTCACAGCATAGAGTTTTGGAGTTGAAGTGTTGTTGGGATGTTAAGTATGAAGCTCAAATTGCATATGCATTGTATTTTTCTGGTATGTTGTTGTTGTGGTATTTTTTTTCCCAATATGTCTGTGGTACAATGTGGCTTGGTTTGTAAGGAGTCCTCGCACTTCCTAGTCCATTTCTCATCACAGGGTCTTTTAGTGGTAATAAATTCCCACTCGAAGATAATATAAGCAAGGAACTAGTGGTTTCCAGAAGCCGAGTTTATTCGTCCCCAGTTTTTAAGTTGGAAAGTTGCAAGAGGGAGACTGCACAGGTGATGGAATTCTGCTGCTGTGCTCATCAGCAAAACTTGAGCACCCGAG